ATTCACATCCCTGACATATTCCTGGTTACCGACGAAACATTTACAGTAGTTCAAACATCAAAACTAGTGGTTTGGATGAGATAATTAATGAGGAGTACAGTATGTGTTTAAGTAGTGGTAATGTTGTATCCCTTTTGTTGTGCATATACAGGAAAGGCGTTGGGACGTGGCCGGGGTCGTGGACGTGGGCGAGGACGTGGGAGAGGTCGGTAGATGGGGCCCTCCGAGTCCTGTTCCGGTAATGTGACTTCAATTGTGTTTGTGTTGTTGATGAATCACATGTGTTTTACTCAGATTCTATTTCGTGATGTAGTACTCTAGTAGTTTTTATATCAATGGATGGATGTGATTTGGTATTTGGTCGCCTCTTATTTCTGCTTTCCTGGTCCTTCCCTTTTTTTTTGCAAGTTAAAATTGTACTCCGTAAATGAAAACATAGCTACAAACTTTGAAATGAAATTGTCATTCAAGCATCACTCTCATTTATCCATTAGCTCTATATCTATCTCCAGATCACCTCATCTATTTTTAACCCTTATCAAGCATCACCCGCTATTTGATCCATCTATCACCCGTGGGTAAAGCGGATGAAACAGGTGAATATGGGTGATATTAATTTTAATAACTACTTCCTCCGTCTCGTAAAATTTTTAATAACTACTTTCACATCTGACATGTCATATAAAACATTTTAATTTCGTCTCAGTGGACACAAATGCCCTCTTCTTAAATCTAACTGGTCTTTCTCAGCTACTTTCTACGCGTTATCCACTTTGACATTCTTTGAGCCATACTCGTTTAAATTGTTGTTGTTTCACTTTGGTAAAATTGTTACAGTTTTTCTTTCCAACAGTCAAAACAGAAAATGTTTACGGGGCGAAGGACGTACACAATTGAAAATATGTTATATGAAGCACTAAATATTAAATTCAACTTATGATAAAAGATATTTGGGAATAAGATATCTAAGATTGAATTCAAAAAAATATATTTAAAAGTTTTGATGTAAAACTTAATTACATGACTCGAAGCAATCGGTTTTGCATAAGAAACATAAATAAATAAAGTAACTCTCCAAACCTTTGCTCATAGTAATGTCGAGGACACTCCACAAGATAGATAAATAAATTAAAGTCTTCCAATATAGAATATGTCAAGATCATCGTTAAATATGCAGGTTATTAGTAGTCACCAAAGAAAACATTAGAAATTGAATAGAAAAAGAAAAGAACTAATTCAATGTAAACGTCAAGGGGAATTTTTTTAGTAAATGAATGATATGTTCTTTTTTATTTTGAAATTTGATATGGATAAATCGAGTGACAGCTAATATAAAAAGAAATATTTGTATTAAATAACACTAAAACTTAAGTCATTTCCCTAAATAGTACTTAAATTGTTTTATTCTTTAACTAGCACTTAATAATGTCCATAATGACTTGTGTTGGCGAATATTTACTTGAATAATGAGTAATGCATAATGACTAAAAGTGCTACATTGGGAAGAAAAACACATGTGGTGCTATTTAGGGAAAGTCATTATGTTTTAGTGCTACTTAAATAAATTTCTCATATAAAAAACTTTACCCGTAACCAAACTGATTCATCATTCAATTCATCTATCATTCGGTAATAAGTAACACTGCATATTCATCAAACCCTTTGGTTCCCGTTAGAGCTGGCAAATCGGTCGGTCAGGTCGGGTTCGGGTTCGGTCACTTCAAGTTCGGGTTATTTTGGTTTCGGGTCAATTCGGGTTCGGGTTGAGAACTGTATGTTCATGACCCAGTATCGTTGGGTTCGGGTCGACCCAACGGGTTATAACTTTGATTTTTAAAATTTTTAAATTCACATTACCACTTACATTTTCTATTAAATAAATTTAAAATATCAAAAAAAAAGTATTAAATCTATAAAATTGATAATAAAATTTGAGACTTCATTAAAAAATCTATATATTTAGTTATATTCCTTAAATTTTTACGAATTCAAAACCTTTTTTCATTCTATTAATACGTTATAGTAATTTTAAAAGAGACGTTTATATTTAAACATGTGATTTTTGCTCATCATTTCACATACTAAAACTTTTTAAGAATGTTTAGCGGGTCGGTCAGGTCGGATTCGGGTTCGGTCGGGTTTGACCCATTTTTAGCGGGTCATTTCGGGTTCGGTCAACTTCGGGTTCGGTCATCAAAACCATTGTTCAAAACCCAGTGTTTTCAGGTCGAGTTTCGGGTCAAAAACAGGTCGGGTCATTTTTTGCCAGGTCTAGTTCCCGTGACGTATGAAAACCAATGTCATGCGATGATCTGAGGACGTTCCGATACCCCATTCGTAAAATTGACGATTCTTACCCATTTAAACCCTCGGAAAACCCACACCTGCCCCGATCTAAACACGTGCCCCCTTCAGTTGCACCACGAGGTGCAACAAACTCTTACTTCAGCCCAAAAGGGACCCTAAAACATGCTCTATAAATACCCTCCTAAAAGCAGAAATGGTGTGTCCAAAGCAATCGTACAAACGACGCGTTTCAACACTTTGGAATTGAGGGAGAAGAAGAAGATGGGGGAGAAGAAGAGCTCTCTGAAATCAGCGGCGGTGGTTTTCGGTGCACTAGCCGCCGGATGGCTAGCCATTGAGCTCGCCTTCAAGCCCTTCCTCGACAAGGCCCGGGCCGCTCTGAAGAAATCCGACCCGAATTACGACCCGGACGATGCCACCGAATACTCGCCGCCGCCGCCGGACCTTGACCACAATTCCTCCATCTCCAAGGGAAGCGCCTGATTCTCATAGCCAAAGGTCATTTGCTTCTCCGAATCTGGAAATAGATTTCTCATTGCTGTACTGTCTTAATCAAAAATATCATTTGAAAATTGAGATTTCATCTGCTTAATCGTGTTCTTCGAATTCTGTTTATGATTTGTTGAAGAAGAAGTTTGTTTCTGCTCTGAGTGTCTACTTGCAGAGTTCTTTTGAGAATCTAACTAATATTTTGGGAGTATGTTTCTGGGATTAGAATTTGCAGAATAAGCTTTAAGAATCAATTAATCAAATGATTCAAATCCAAATTGCTCTCAAGACACTAGTGATTAACCTATACGTATTTCAGCAAAAACAAAACCAAAAAAACATAACTGGAATTATGTGAAAGTTGTGAATATTTAATGGCAGCATTTTGTTTTAGCATATTCATAGTTAATGTTGTAATGCCTTGAATCTGACCCGCGATAGCATAGAGTACGAGTCTCGTTGTATTCTGTTCTTGTCTCTCCAAACCCGTTACAGCAAAGAGAAGGTGCTATCACAAACCCTAAGCTGTATTCTGTTCTTGCGTCTCCGTAATAAAACTGCCCCCCTCTTCCCCGTGGACGTAGCCAATTTATTGGTGAACCACGTAAATTTGTTGTCGTGTTTTTCGTGTTCATATTGTTATTCTCGAAATCCGTATAACAGTTAATCTCTGCCATTAGAAAATTATCCAAAATATTAACGCCAATTGAAAATATGTATCCAAAAAGGGTTTGAATGGTTTCTGTAATGGCCTGTTTAGAACATTGATTTAATGCTTTTGTTTGGCTTAAGGTAGATAGATGTCATATACTCTCTATGTTTCTTTCTTGAGTTGGAGAAGAAAAGGCTAATTTGGCCATTCTTGAGGTTCTTGCTGTTGCTTTGAGTGGTGTGTATCTGCAGATTTAAAAAAACAAATGCATCAGCTGTGATCCTATAGGATTGAGCAGTGTTGATTCTTGGTCAATGATCACTTGGATTTTGAGCTGAATTAAACATATGGCTCAATAAGAACAAACCCAATATAATCATAGTTTTGTTTCACCTAGGGATCAAGATGTACACAATGCATTGCTGCTTTACCATCCAAATCTTAATAGAAAGTACTAGTAAGAACTAAGAAGCAATGAATGTTTGCACTTTGTTTGGTTCAATGAATTTCGAATGGAAAATAAAAGAAAATATGAGGTAGGAGAATTTTTGGCGTTTGGTTAGAAAGAAAAAAGTGATGAAAATATAAAGTTAAAATGGGAAATTGATTTTTTCCATTTTCAGTGAGGTAAATGAGAGAAAATATGGATGCCATGTCTTGCTAAAGCTAATAAGCAGTACATAAAATTGGGTGAAGCTAGTAATCTTTTTTAGGGATTGTTTGGAGAGCGAAGATAGGTTGATATGATATTAGTTTTCAAATATATGGAAGAAAAAAATGTTTGGAGATATTTGAAACAATGGTTATTAGTGGCTAGTTTGTGATATCGGAGAAGTTTTTATTCAAACCTTTGTTTAAGTTCCACAAACGCCCACAAAAAGATAATGATATCAAAATTTTAGAACTTATATGTTTGGCACAACAGTTATTCTTTCGTGTTTCTAAAGTCGATATGTAAAATATGGATCCTTTTACACTTTTAATTGGCTAGTAAGTGATGAATCTTTTTTGTAAAAGATCTATTTTTTTAATAATATCAATATAATAAGTTTCATAAAATGAACAAGATGTTAGGATCATGTAAAATCGAATTTGGCGTGATAGTAATCATTAATTCATCTTCATCAATTGCTGAAGTAGTTTTTTCATTTGATTTATAGATAAATTAAAAAAATATTACATATACCAACGGTCATGAAATTTTATGCTCTACATTAGACACCTACTTTGCTATATTTTGACAAACTTAAAAAAATCATTTTCTAATTTAAAAAACGGGTGTTATTTGTTGTTATGAGTACAAATTATGCTCATTTTATGAGTAATGTACAGTTATTTTATTTGAATAATGCATGACATTTTTAATTTGATTTTATTAAAATTTAATGTTATTGATAAATTGAAAATTATGTATAAAAAAAGTGTGACGAGGAATTTCCACAGCCAAATTTCCACACCAAAATGATGATGTGGATGAGAAAAAAAGTATAGAGACATTGGTGAGGAAGACCTTATTTGGAAACAACGTTTTTTATTAGTTCTAGCGTTTTGGATAGATTTTTAATGATGTAGATTAATTCTGTAAACGCTAACGTTAAACGTTAAAGCTATCGTCATATAGCCTTTACGGAGTAAATGAGAATTTGATTAGATAAGTTGGGTGTAATAAATGTAAAATAATAAATGGTAAAATAACAAAAGTATCTTTAGTTAAGTGAAAAAAACTAATTTAGATCATTCAAATTGAAGAAGAAAAATGGCATTGTGAGAATCAGTTAAAATATACTACTCGGTAAAAGATTATTTCTTATCCTCCATTAATTAAATATGATCATCTTAGACCACTCACAACAGTTTCTCTCACATGCGTATATGTGAGAGTTTTTAAGCTGTATGGGTAATTTATGCAAATGCGATTTAAATATTTCTTTTTTCCTTAAATTGAATTAGTTCTATCTATTATAATGTCTGACAATGGAAAATTTTAAAATGTTCTGTCTTTAAGAAAAATAACATATTATACAATTCAAGTAGATCGAATAAGACATTATTAAAAATAATTTGAATACTCATCGAAATAATCAGCATTATTCAATACTTGTTGCTAATGACCACATTCGTAGAGTAATTCGTATTATTAGTCATTATTCAACACTTGTTACTGATGAGGGCATATATGTGATATTTTATTAAATTATGTGTCATAAAGAGAATAAAACATATTTAGTCATATTCATGGAAAGTTATTAACTTTCCCTCTAAATTAAAGCAAATGTTTCAACGTATATCCTGGTGATTAGTTGGATGGTAATTTGTTATTTCAATTATCTAAACTTAAAAGAAACTCATAAAATGATTATTTGTATAGAGTAGTATCATGTAAAGTTAAAACAATCATTGGCTAGCTATATACCCACCTTCCTGAGTATTTGTCCACTTTTAACTTTTTTTGATCAAAATTAGTAAATTTTGACCTTAAATTAAATAAAAATGATATTAGATATTGATACAAAAAAAAGTTGAAAACAGTTGACCAAAAAAATCAAAACAGAAAAAATACTTAGGGACGGAGGTTGTACATAATATAAAAATCTGTCAAAATATTTTAGAATTTAAAACAAATATATCTTCTTAATTATAAAAGACTATTTTAAAATTACACTTCATTAGAAATGATAAATTTGAGAATTACTCCAAGTGAGACTTAAAAAAATCAAACTATCATCCACTTAATCAACATTTAAGTGAATTTTATTGAAAGACTATTTAAGAAATAAATCCCAATTATAAAATACCATTTAACTAATTAATACGGAGTACTTAATTAAGAACTAATTTGAAAAAATATCTAATTAAGAAGGATCATTTTGGTAGTTTGTTCATATAAATATTTTAATCAAGGGAGTACTACATTATATAATTACACCATAAGCATATAGTGAGTATAAATGTATATTAACCGAACAATATTTAGTTTTATTAGAGTAACATATAGGAAAGTCGGGTCGGGTTCGAGTATAGTACTATCCGATCCGAACCCGACCCGTTGTCATCCTATATAGGATGGAATTCCATAAAGAAATTAAAACAAAAAAACTTTGGGCGAGGACACCGCAGTCCTTTCCTTAATATCCCCAAAAATGAAACAGAAAGGAGATAACAAAAGATACGTACGGCGGGCGGCTCTTGAAAATCTATAGGCGTACCGATAGATACATAAATGAATAAATAAACAAATAATGCAGAAGAATCGAAGTCTCACTGAGCCGCCGCCGCCGCCGCCGCGAGATCCTTTGCTCCGGCCGCCGGCCTGATGGCAGTGTCAGTGGCGGCGTCCGCATAGATGAGCTGCCCAAGCCTATTCTGAAGGAACCTCGTCACGATGGTGGCGCTGGGCGCCACCACCTGATTCTCCCACATTTCCTTTTCCTTGCGGCCGCCGGCCGCCCTCATCGGGGACACGTCCGTGGCGTCGACCCGGTGCAACTTCCACCCCCGCGCGTCCCGCAGCCGCTTTATCTTCTCCAACTGCTGACTCGCCAGGGCGCACGTGTTGGCCTTCACCTCGTCGAGCGCCTCTTTCAGTAGGGCAGCGCGGGTGTCGGCTTCCGCCGTGGCCTCCGCTTGGAAGTAGCGGTGGAACTCCGGGACACCGATCGACTTCCTGATGCCGGTGGAGTAGTCCCCATTCTCGGGGTCGAAGGCCGACCGGGCCTCTTCGACCAACCCCTGGTCGACCATTTTGTCCACCCGGTCCGCCACGAATGAGTGGAGAACCGGCATGGACACGTCGACCCAGAGGAAGCAGACGTCGTACGTGGACCGCAACCGGCAGTTGCGGTCGTCCATGAGAGCCTCGATGAAGGAGTTGGAGCCGCCGACTATGATCGGGAGGTGGCCCCGGGCGGTGATCGACTTGATCGCCTCCGTCGCGGCGAAGCAGAAGTTCTTTGCGGTGAAATTCTTTCTCGGGTCGACGACGCCGAGGAGGTGGTGGGGGACGTGGCGGCGCTCGTCGTCGGTGACCTTGTTGGTGAGGACGTCGAGGCCGCGGTAGACCGGCATTTTGTCGGAGTTGATGATCTCGCCGGAGAAGCGGGAGGCGAGGTCGATGGAGAGCCTAGATTTCCCGGCGCCGGTGGTACCCAAGACGACGAGGAGCTTGTGGAGGTAAGACTGGCCGAGGGAGTTCATGATCATCTTTTTTAGGGTTTGGAAAGTACGTAAAAAGGGTTATTGTTTTTTTGGTTTGTTTGTTTGTATGGATGGAGAGCGGGCAGATTATTTGGGGAAATGAAATGGGAGATAAGAGTATTTATACGTACATGTGGATTGGAGTAATAAGGCCTTGTAATTCACTAACTACCATTTTATAGGACTAAAATATAAACATTTTCTTAGAATCATATATTTTTATTTCTCAATCTAGGACCTTTGGTCATTATCTATTAGTCATTATTCAACTAAATGATCAGCATCACTTGGACATTATTCTTCTCACTAGACATTATTAAGTTCTATTTAAGGAATAAAAAAATCTAAGTCATACATTGAGAAATAATTTAATAACTTATGTTTTAGTTCAAATTTCACTTTTATTATATACTCTCTCTCCTTATCTAACTTTCTATTTTAATTCACTAACTACCATTTTCTTATATACTTCGCACTTTCTTTTTTTCCGAATATAATAAGAATACATAGTTCACAATTATTTCCCATTATATCCATATATTTGATGATACGGATAGCTTATCTAAAATGTTACTCCCTCCGTCCTAAAACTTTTTTCTCGGTTTGCAAAACGAAGAAAAATCCCAAATTTTTTCAATCTATTTTATTTAAATATTGGTATAGAAATAAAAAGTAAAACATATAAAAAGTAAAACATACATATTTAAAAACTACATCAAAAGTTCAACAAAACAAGTGGTGACAAGAATATTTTATTTTATCATATAGGCCATGAAAAAACAAAAATAAATATAAATTCTCGTGAAGTTAAAATAGTGCTATGGGAAGAAAGTTTTAGGACAGAGTGAGTAATAGCCAACAAATGTTGCCTAAGAAAATGGATCATCTTTAATAAATTTACTTAGGTGTGATACTTGAACTGTACCAAGTATTTCGGTTTAGTATGTGATTTTCTATTGTATGGAACTTGATCTCGAAGTATCGATTGGGGATACTTTGGCATCGGTTTGGGTAAAAGTTGAGATGAATATAGGCATATCTAGTTTACATTTTAATAAAACCCTTTATTTTTAAAAATTGAAAGTACATTTAAATACAGAAAGATAAAAAATTGAAAAACTAAATTTAAGAAATGCTTATAAAACTTAGCTTATACTCCGTATTTCACAAATATAAGAGAACGAATGAAAACAAAAAAGTATTGTGAATGTTTGTTATTTTTATATTCATCCACAAAAAATTAAAACTCAAATAAACTACTCCATATAAGTTACACATAATGCAAAGTTAACTCTTATCGTCAGATTTTGCACCGACAGTTTGACACGGTTTGATTTTTTTACATCATTTCATCGGTTCGATATTTTTTGATTTGGTAATTTCATTTTTTTCAAGAAGTTTTGAGACCGGTTAGCTACTTTCACCTCTAAATTTACGTATTTATTTATAGAATATGAATAAATAGTTTTCTATACATACATCGTATTTTTCGTTTTTAGAATGTGGACGAATAGTTTTCTAAATATGAACAATATCTCGAAGCCCAAATCATTATTGCTGGATCAATGAAAGAAGCCCAAGAACCTAACTTCAATAGTATGGAATTAATTAGTTTCAATTGCTAACCTTGTCCATTTGTCATCCAAATGGAGTAATTAATTAAGAGGCTGTTTGGCAACTTCTGAATCGGTAAGTGCTGAACCAGTAAGAGGTCTGAACTATTAAGAGCTAGTATATTGCTTAAATATTCAAAGGCAAATGTCTGATCAATTCAGATTAGAGTTCTTAACCATTTAGACTCTCTATAATACTTAACCATTCAGACATCTGAACCATCAAGAGGTTGAAACAAATAGTCTGAACCATTAAGTGCTGAACTATTCAAACATCCACTAAGTCTCGCTTTGGGGTCTTTAAAGTTCAAAAGACCCTTTTCTTGTAGGTCTATGTCTCATTATTGGACTTAGTTACCACTCTAATTACTTTGAGGCAGGTTTCCCTTAGGCCCCGTTTGGTACATAAAATTCAAAATATGGAATTAGAATTGAGGACTTCAATTCCAATTCTAGTGTTTGGTAGCACAAAAATTATGTAGATTTAGAATTGATAGTGTAAAAAATGAATTAAAATTGACAGAATTCAATTCTATGGAATTGAATCTCATGGAATTACAATTCCAATTCAATTTCAATTCTAGCAATTCATTATACCAAACGGACCCTTAGAGTCCGTTTGGTACACGGAATTAATGGAATTGGAATTCAATTGGAATTATAATTCCATGAGATTTAATTCCATAGAATTGAATTCACCAATTCCAACTCATTTTTTGCAGTACTAATTCTAAATTCACATAATTTTTGTGCTACCAAACACTAGAATTGGAATTGAGGTTCTCAATTCCAATTCCATAGTTTGAATTCCATGTACCAAACGAAGCTTTAGAAATGAATCCACATCCTAAATCTAATTACAATTAAACAAATACTTGTGAAATTCATTTACACTATGTTTGATTCAAGGATTTTGGCTAGGAAAAGAAAAGAAAATAGGAGGGAAATGTTTGGTTAGTGAGAAAAAGAAAGGAAAAATGAGAGAAAAGGAAAAGTGGAGAGAAAATGAATTAAAAAAGGGGAAAATCATTTTCCTCCCGAGTTCGGACGGAAATCGAGAGAATCCCGTCTTGTTGAAGATTCCAATTGAACTCGGTTGCGGATTTCTACAAGACTGAGAGCTGCTTGTCGAGATCATGCCGCTGGGAAAGAATCACCTCCAGGTCCGGATCTAGGGCACACTGGTAAGCGATGCACTCATGGAGAAGACGAGTCATGGCTCCGACATCTGTGAGCTTACGCATGCGCTCTAGAGCCTTCGGGGTTCCGAAATCCAACGATAAATTCGCCACCGATGAATCATCGCCGGAATCTCCTTTCGGAGTCCTGGCTCTGGATCGCGATCCCATCATTGCGCCTTGACACTACAAGAAAATTCCTCTTCTGCAACGGAAAAATTTCGTGGCAGAATCTAATTTTCCGTGGCAGATTTCTATTTTGCGACGGATCTGCCACGAAATCGTTCCGTCGTAGAAAAGTTGTGGCAGATTCAAAATCTGTGACGGACTTTAAAATCCGTGGCAGATCTGCGACGGAATTGCAACGGGGTTTTCATTTTTTCCATCCAGCAAAATCTGCGACAGATATAGAAAACCGTCGCAGATCTGCGACGGCATTAGCAATGGAATCCTCCGTCGCAGATCAGCGACACATGTAGCGACGGTCAATCCGTCGCAGATGACCTGTTGCTAGAACCAGAATTTTGCTGTTTTCAGCACTACCTATTACAATGGGGTGTGTGGGGGGCAAAACACATTCAATCTTCACACATATAATTCCAAACAAGATTTCAAACACCCAAATTGCTAATTCAAATCTAGATTAATGCAAACTTCAAATGCGAATGTAGCATAATTCAATATGTTCTAACAACAAATATTAAAATGTTAGTGTCAAGTGTTTAAAATGGAGGAAGCTAAGGTCGTAAATGTCTCAACAAATCCCGGGCTGCCCTGCCCCTCCTGTTCCATCATCATCACCTCGTCGAGGAAGGTTACCACCATATAGCTTCCTTAGGTCCTCTTGAATCGTCAGTGACAAGTTCGAGGTTAGACTATCAATTTGTTCCTGCAACCTTTGGTTTTGCTCTTTGAGTGCTGATATCTCCGCTGTGCTTCTACTACTCGTGCTGGAACGGCGAGGTTTGGAGGACGGATTCATCTTCCTCATTTCCCGCTCGTAGTCACCAACTCCAGGAACGCGGTTCTTCGCGTTATGGCCCTCAACTA